CTGAGTGTTCTTATTAGGAACATTTTTCAGCTTACTGTTTTTATTAGGGCCAGCGCTCCTAATAAGAACAAATTCATTTCTTCGTAAATAACCGCTAATTGCTTTTTTATTTTTTGAGATAATAAAGTGTTTTTTGCATCATTCAATTCAAAAAACAATTCTACACTCAAAAATATAAAAAAATATGTTTTTTTCATATAAAATTGCTGGATGAAAAAATAAATTCTTCGCACAGTCAAGATAGCTGTTCTTATTAGGAACATTGGCTATACTTAGTCAAATAAATGTATGAAATGTTCATTTGTTGTTATGCACACAATCATAAAGTAAGAGATAAATCGTCTGATTTATTTTCATATCTTCTATCGATACAATGAATTACATAATACTCTAATACACAACAAAAAAACAAACAAATTTTTTTATGTTCGACGGTAATAAAAGTACAATGAGTGTATACATCAATGTTTTCTTTTATTCTTTCTATACTTGTCGACCTTGATGTATTCTTTTGTACGTAATTCAAATTGAATATCGCTATTAATTTAAGACAAAGTCAAGTATACAAAAACAGAATGAGTAAAAAACTGGGCCATTATCCTCCTGCTATTTTACATAAATTACGACTGGAGGAGATAACCACATAGTTCGCCAACCTCAGTAAGCAGAAAGACCAATCTAATCCTCTAACCACGTGCTAAACAAAGCACAAACTTAATCAAATTGTGAATAGTTGCATGTTTCAGTCTGTACAGTTTATTTTTCTTGTCTTTTTGAAAAAAAAAGCATTCAGCAAAGAAAAGTTAACATGTTCTAAAGACAATTTTTATTAAACAATGAAGATAATCACCGAACAAAAAAATATTTAACAATTAATGAAATGACATATCTTGATCATAATGTTGATTTGCTTGTTCACAAATTCGATCAATAGAATGTAATTGAGTTCGGGTAAATATTTTTCTTCTTCATTGAAAGATGAACTTGTTCCTTGTTGAATAACTAATAAATGAATACGAAGAGCTGTTAAACAAAGATGTGGAAATACTTTTAATTGATGTAAAATAATAAATGCTCGTTCATGTTGATCAACTTGAAGGTAATAATCAACAAATGAATAAATATCTAATAAAAGAAAATAATTTTCTTGATTTTTGTTATGTTTTGTTTTTGATAAAATTTGAAGACGTTGAGTTATAAATAAATGGAGATGGTGATGATGTTGATGATAATATTAATAAACGATCAAGAATTGTTTGTGTTATATAGTCACAAGCAATACGTATACATGAAGAATAATCACCAGCTAATTCAAATAATACTGAGACAACAAGAAGTTTAAAACGATGATGTTCTTCTATTGTTGTTGCTAGACTAATTAATATATCATCTATATCTGAATCATCAAGATGAGAAAATAACCGATGTAGAGGACCTAGAATAGAATAACAGATTTTGTATAATTCATAGGAAACCAGGTGATTACTGAATAGAGTATCCAAAAAGTTCTCACTAAACGTACGTTTGAATAATTTCAACTACTACCAATGCCAGTCTTAGTAGATCAGACTTTACTAGATAGACTGGTTAGTCTAAAATCTGTCTGGATTTCATCTCTGATAGGTATAATCTTTTTCTTTCGTGTTATGTTCTCTCAGTATTCATTCATATTGTTATGATCACGTTGTGTGAATTTACTCTTCGCTAAATTTTCTCCTTGTGTTTTTATTTAGTTGCAAATAAATCGAGTGAATCTTGTGAATTTATCGAATATGTAGTTGTGTGTCTAAATTTCGTTATCATATTAAAGGTTTTATTTAAACGAGTAACAAATATTTCCGAAGACTTTCAGTTCAGCTTACTGCTTCCATGAAATTGCCAGTATTATCAGGTCAATGATTAGAGTTTGGGAGATACGAAATACCTTTTTTTATTCCCTTTTCTGAAAGAAAGGGTAATACAACGGTTAAATATCAGGGCTAAAAATCCTTAAACTATGTCTGTCTGTCTAAGCCAATGAGAATTCAGTATGCTCTAAACTAATAAAATCTCAACAATAGTTTCCAGGAAAAGTTTGGCCGAAGGGCAATCGAGGACGGGAAATCCGAATCTAAAGTGAGTGTTGTTATGATATAGTAATCTTGAACACCCGTAAATCTTTTTTTTCAGAAAAGGATCAGCGAATCGTTAGATGAGCGTTACTTGTGATTATATGTTAATGATGGAAATGATATTAATGAAAAACGTCGAGATTCAAGCCAATGTACAACTGTTGTATATATAGCAACAGCTTCTTTAGTTGTTATATATGGACCATTTTTAAGATAATTATGTTGTCGTTCTTGTTCAGCTTTTAAATAAAAATGTGTTAAACGTCCTAAATTTTTGTTTTTTACATACGATTTTATCATTAGTTGCATCACTTCTAATACGTTCACGATTATAATATGCTATTAATGTCTACCAATCAACATTAGCTTTAACATAACATCATATAATATTTTCAATTGGTATCTGTAATTCAGGTACTTTCCATGGTATGTATATGTGCTTNTTTTTAAGATAATTATGTTGTCGTTCTTGTTCAGCTTTTAAATTAAGATGTGTTAAACGTCCTAAATTTTTGTTTTTTACATATGATTTTATCATTAGTTGCACCACTTCTAATACGTTCACGATTATAATATGCTGTTAATGTCTACCAATCAACATTAGCTTTAACATAACATCATATAATATTTTCAATTGGTATCTGTAATTCAGGTACTTTCCACGGTATATTTGCTTTTCAACAACATCATACTTCAATTAAATGTTGTAAAATAGTTCGTGTTTTTTTTTAATACTTTCAGGCATCATATCTAATATATAATGTATAACAGCAGCACGTAATTCCAAATCATAATATCATTCAACATGTTGTTTTGTAATAATTTTTTCCAATACGTTTTGAATAACATTCTTCAAATTAACATGATAATAAATTTCCTAATCAACATTCTAATAATGATGTAACATCACGTAAGAAACATAATCATACATGCCAACCAGATACCCAAAAACTACAATCAGAATCTTTACCAATTGATCCTGTATTAAAACAATAATAAATTAAATGTTTTAAATTTTTATATAAATATATTTGTCTTACTCATTTATATTTCTAACGATACATTCCAGTTAATTGTTCAATATGTCCAAATATATGTTGTAAACCATCAGCTAATTGAAAAACATCAACATTTCTTAAATGATATTGTACATGACTATCAATAATTAATTTATTTAAATGTAAAATTTCTCGACATAAATGAAATATATCGCCAAATCGAGATTTTTTATGTTCTTTTGACGTTAATATTTTAACTAGTTTTAAATTCAAATTTTTATGATGTATTAATAAATTTTATATATTATAATCTTAATGACATAATTGTAAGCCAATTTCAAATCAATCATATGTTGTTAATTGAAAAAAATTTTGTTGATTTAAATGAAAGAAATAAATAACGTTTTTTTTTATAATTTTGGTTTATGATGATTTAATACATTTAATACAAAATATTTTAATGATTTTTGATATAATACACGAATTTTAACTGGATATTTACTTGGATAATATTCACGATATCATGTTTTTTTTTTGACTAATGGTATATCAAGTACACGATGTATTCGATTAAAATTAAGATTAAATGAATGTAATATCCATAATAATAATGCAATATCACTTGTTGTATTATCTGTACATAATGATAAATCAGTTAATAATGGTTGAAATTAATTTGATAAAATAAATTCTTTATCATTTTCTTGAATATTTATTTTTGTATCAGTAGATTTTATTGTATGACGATGAACAACTGAATTAATTAATCGATTAAAATAAAAAAAAACTGATAAATGACAGACGACAATATTACATTATAATACTGGATCATCTGGAGATTGGTCTGTTAAAGTATCTTTTTCACAATGATAATTTAATAAACATTGAAAATGTTCATTCGGATAAATTTGATATGTTTGTTCATAAGTATTTCGTGCATGATATTGAAGTAATGGCACGAATTTTTCTTCATTTTCATCATTAGCTGTTTCAAGATAATTTGTTCTTGTTTTTGTATTTTCAGTTGTACGTTTACGTTTAATTGGAGGTTCTGATGGTTCAACTGCTACNCTATCGATTAATATCATTGAAAGTTCAAATTGAACGAAAATTAGTAGCACGAGGCAGCTCACAAACTGTCCAGCAAAAGTTCTCCTGGTTGGTCAATTGCTTGACCATTCAAAATCAGTAGGATTTTGTAGCCCCCGGCTTGCTCTTTTGAATGGTGAAAACCGCAGCTCGATAACTCAAAGTAATCAAAAGTTATTCAGAAAATGGTCGTTAATACTTTTTAAAAAATCCGACATTAGTTTTAAATTCAAATTTTTATGATGTATTAATAAATTTAATATATTATAATCTTTCATGACATAATTGTAAGCCAATTTCAAATCAATCATGTGTTGTTAATTGAAAAAATTTTGTTGATTTAAATGAAAGAAATAAATTACGTTTTTTTTTTATAATTTTGGTTTATGATGATTTAATACATTTAATACAAAATATTTTAATAATTTTTGATATAATACACGAATTTTAACTGGATATTTACTTGGATAATTTTCACGATATCATGTTTTTTTTGACTAATGGTGTATCAAGTACACGATGTATTCGATTAAAATTAAGATTAAATGAATATAATATCCATAATAATAATGCAATATCACTTGTTGTATTATCTCTACATAATGATAAATCAGTTAATAATGGTTGAAATTAATTTGATAAAATAAATTCTTTATCATTTTCTTGAATATTTATTTTTGTATCAGTAGATATTATTGTATGACGATGAACAACTGAATTAATTAATCGATTAAAATTTAAAAAAAAACTAATAAATGACAGACGACAATATTACATTATAATACTGGATCATCTGGTGATTGGTCTGTTAAAGTATCTTTTTCACAATGATAATTTAATAAACATTGAAAATGTTCATTCGGATAAATTTGATATGTTTGTTCATAAGTATTTCGTGCATGATATTGAAGTAATGGTATGAATTTTTCTTCGTTTTCTTCATTTTCATCATCAACTGTTTCAAGATAATTTGTTCTTGTTTTTGTATTTTCAGTTGTACATATACGTTTAATTGAAGGTTCTGATGGTTCAGCTACTACTTCTAATAACGATTTAAAGTTGTTCTTATTCAAACAATCAATAATATTTGATTGTGATAATTTAGTATGTATATTATTTTGTCCGACTATAAATAATTTGACATCTGAATAATTAGAATCTTTATTAATATGAAGTTCACCAGATAACAGTTCTCTTTCCAAAACATTTCCACCATCATAACAGTGTGGCGTTGAATATGTACTAAAAAATGCTAATTTTGGTGTATCATTTTTTTGTGGAGATATAAGTTTAGCAGCGTGTGTAAGTTCATGTAATAAAAGCATGCTTAAAAATAATGTTGAAGCTTCCGGTGTTATATCACTTCCATCACCTAAAACAAACAAAACAGAACACATTTAGTTTTTCTATATTTTAATGGTTGAAATGAAGATTGATTAATTAGAATGGTACATTCTAATTAATAAATGAATAACAAAATAATTTTAAAAAATTTTGATTTTTTTTTCTTAATTTAAATAATAATAAAATATTTACCTGTCGTTTTCTTGTCAAAAACTAACGGATTAATGGCTATTAATATTTCCTCGTTCAGTTTTCGTGTTGTTGTCGCATATTCATTAGTGCGACAAGAATCTAATATTTGAGGTGATGCTTCTGCCTTCAGATGAATAATAGCGACAGTTATTTTTTGTTGAATTAATCGTTTAAGAGTAGATATTTTAGTAGAACTAATTAATGAATTAAAAAGTATTTTATATATTTCTGATGTTGGGGTGTTTTTTTTAATTTTTTTGTATGCGCCGTTCATAATGTTCGTCCAGATTGTTGCGCAACGGTTATCATTAGCAAAAAACGTATTTAGAAATTCTATTGCAGTAATAATACGATCTCCTATAGCTACTCGTTCTGCTGTTGAAAAGAGGGAATGAACACAGATTGTATTAAACTTTAATTCGAATTTGTGATGGAAATCGCTGTCTATTGCAGATGCAGCTTCAATAGATGTTGGAATATTTTGAACAAATTTACCTAAATAATATAAGAAAATACAATAAATTAATATGAAAAATATTGGAAAATTTCAATACATTTGCCCTAGACTGAAAGGCTAGGGTCTAGAAACCGTAATTCACGTGTGTCTGTATGTCCGTCTGTGTGTCTGTCTGTCTGTAACAAAGGGCTTGGCACAAATAACCATTTCTATGGTACAAATGACGATTTTTTTGGCACAAACGACCATTCTTATGGCACAAACGACCATTTCTGTGGCACAAATGACCATTTTTATAGCACAAATGACCATTTCTATGGCGCAAATGACCATTTTTATGGCAGAAATGACAATTTCTGTGGCACAAATGACCATTTTTATGGCACAAATGACCATTTCTATGTCACAAACAACCATTTTTATGACACAAATGACCATTTTTACGGCTCAAATGACCATTTCGATGCTGAAAACGACCATTGCTGTGGCACAAACGACCATTTCTGCGGTACAAAATGACGATTTCTGTCGCAGAATTGACCATTTTCATGGTACAAAGTACCCTAGCCGTAGTGCAAATGAGCGTTTTCATAGTACAAAGTGCCATAGTCTTGTTACAAGTGACCATAGTAGTGGTGCAAATGACCATTTTCATGGTATACTGTACCACTTTGGTGGTACAGATGACCACTTATTTGACACAATTGGCCATTTACGTTAGAGAGATGACCGTTTCCGTGGCTCAATTCGCCATTTTCATGGCAGAATCAACCATTTCTGCGGCATTGTTGATCATTCTTATGGCTCAAATGACCATGTCTGTGTCACAATTGGCCATGTCCGTATTAGAAATGGTCATTACTTTTGCATAAATCACTATTTTTAGTCGTTATAATTAACACAAGCAAAAACTTTATCATATGCATTAGCATCTTTCGATATTTTATGTGAACTATTTTGAATATATCTATAGTATGTAATATAGAACATGTTACAAATATTAATAATTTCTCCTAAACTCATCATTATACAGAATTCATTTTTATTTAAAAATAGAAGGACATCTTTGTCATCATTCCGTCAGTCTAGGACCAAGTGAATCGACCTTGAATGTCGATAAACGTTACTTGTTCTTTATTCTTTCTAATAATAAGAAAAGAAATTTTTAACTAGAAAAAATAAACTATTCCTTTATCGTTTATATAAGAAATCAATGATTTTTTTTTCTATTATTCTTACTGATTAGTTAGAAAACGTATTCTTAATTTTCTGTTCTTAAAAATTAATGAAATGTTATAATACTTGTAAATACCTGTAAGTAAACCACCACTAAATTAATAAAAAAAAAGATACATGTTTTTCATTAAAATATTTCATTAATAGAACTTACGTTCCAAAAAGATTGGGTACTATTGCATGTAAACGTTTAAGATCTGAAGATAAAATTGTGAATTTTTTAAATTAATCTTTTATTTTTTTATTTTTCAAACCTTTTTGAACTTGTATAATAGCTTCATGTACTTGATCATTTTTCATTAATGCTTGAACATCAAGATGTTGTTAATAAACCATGTATACAATCATTAATGAATTCAATTGCANGGTTATAGTGGGCGAGGGTTTGATTTAATTTCACAAAGGTGGTGCGAATCTGATAGAGCATGTTGAATTCTACTTGGAGACTAACATTTCAGAGTTGGAGACTAATTTATGGCGAATCCATTCACGAAATACTCGAATCCTGTCCTAAGATATCCTACGTGATTTTTTTTTCTATTATTCTTACTCATTAGTTAGAAAACGTATTTTTAATTTTCAGTTCTTAAAAATTAATAAAATGTTATAATAATTGTAAATACCTGTAAGTAAACCACCACTAAATTAATAAAAAAAAAAGATATATGTTTTTCATTAAAATATTTCATTAATAGAACTTACGCTCCAAAAAGATTGGGTACTATTGCATGTAAACGTTTAAGATCTGAAGATAAAATTGTGAATTACTTAAATTAATCTTTTCTTTTTTATTTTTCAAACCTTTTTGAATTTGTATAATAGCTTCATGTACTTGATCATTTTTCATTAATGCTTGAACGTCAAGATTTCTCATTTGTTCCTTCATCGTAGCTGATAGAGTATCAATTATTTGTTCATATAATTTGGGATTATTAGCAACCATTTGTCTTGGTATATCAGGATTAGTTGCAATTGAATTCATTAATGATTGCATAAATGGTTTATTAACAACATCTTGAATTAAATAAACATATTGATCTAATTGAGATATATAATTTTTTATCATTTGAGAGATTTGTTCTTGTTGTTGATTTTTGGATGTATCAGTTGATTCTTGTTGACGAGTTGATGCAGTAGTAACTGCTGTTGTACTAGTACCACCAGATGTCGAAGAATTCGTTAATGGATTAGTATTTTCCGTACATGATATGGTTGTATTTTCTATGAAAAACGAAAGAAAATATAATAATAAAAACAAAAAAAAATCTTTATTACCTTCATTTCCAGTAAATAATTGTGAAAATAGATTAATATCAAATGGTTTTTGTGGTGCTGAATATATTGGTTTTTGTACATCATTATCATTAATACGTTGTAAATCATTAGATTCATCTGGTGTACTCTATTTAGAAAAAGATTTTCAAATAAAGAATAAAGAAAAAACAAATATTTACTTCACTATTTCTTAAAATTCGATCATAAGTACGCATAAGTTCTTGTAATATTGTTAGATTACGAGCAGATTCCATTGTTTGTCGAAGTAAATCAAGATTATTAGGTAAATATGATGTTTCCAGATTACGCTAAAAATATTTTTCATGTAGAAAAAAATATATTTTCAATTCGAAATTAATTTACTTTCATTAAATTACACATTTGTGGATTGCTAAGTAATAATGAATATAATAAATCTGAATTGCTTGTTACATTTTGTACTATAGAATTTTCTATTAATTGATGATGTTGTACTTGATTATTCATAATCTATAGAAAAAATTCATTTTATTTATAGAAAAATAATCTAATTCTTTGTAAGAATTAGTTTATCTGCTGTTGTTGTGAATTAAGAAAATTTATATTAGCAAAATTAAAACTTCCTATTCCAGATGCTGAATCAAGACCAAATTAAAAACCACCTACGTTTAATTGTGTTGTATTTGTTTGATCATCATATACTAATGTATCATTAGTTCCTTTTGGAATTGTTGAACTAGCTGATGCACTTGATGTTGTTGTATTTGTTTTAAGTATTTGTTTAACCAAATTAATAGTAACACCATCTTTTATATCTATTTTAATAAATAGAAAAAAAAATCAAATTTTTATTTTCAAAATTATTTGATTTCCTACCATATTTGTTAATATTATCATCATCATCGTTAAGAATTTTACTCGAATAAGTAAGACAAATTTGATTAATTGGTAGATTAAATTCTTTAGCGACCATATCTTTTAACTAATAAAATAAAAATATTTGAGAAAAAAAGATTAATTTTATAAATAACCTGTTTGACAGTTGAAGAACCATCAATTGCTATATTCTTTTTTTTTCTTGATGTATTTATTATTATTTTTAATTTTGATGTTGAATTTTCAGTTGTTGTTGTTACTTCCATATTTGAACTAGTTATAGGTACAGCAGCAATAGCAGTATCTGTTATATCATTATTGCTAGCTGTCTCAATTCCAAGATCCATTTGTTCATTGTTATTCTCGCTCATTAATTTATGTTTTTTTTTGGCGTAATTGTGAGAAACAAAAAAATTCGAATAAAATATTTTGAATGAAAATAATCTAGAAGATAGAAAATATGATGATTCCAAATTTGTTTTTTGTAACAAAATAATTATTAATAGATTCGTTTTGATTATTATCGAATCATAGAAAACTTGAAAAAAAATAGATGTCGTTATTTTAAGATGATTTATTTTTGTCGAATAATATTTATTGCTGAATTTTTTTTTAATAGAAATCTGGGAGAATGATTCTTATAGAATAAATTCATTTGATACAGAGAAAAAACTGGAGAAAACGTTTTCACTTTCTTTACAGATAATTGTGACGAATTGTGAGAGTGACTGCCTATGCCTTTCAGCATGATGGTGTCTTGTGGTATCTGCACTCTCACAACTGTCCCTCTCCTTTTATTAATAACGAGATCTTTGTACAATTGATGCGGTGTTTTATTCGCATTTTAAATTTAGTTCTTTTTTCTTTTTGCATCAAACCCACATTGATTACAAAAATGTAACGTTGTCATCATTTTGTTATAAATAAACAATTTGTAAACGCATTTGAGGTTTTTAATCAGATGATATTATACGATAATATTCTCTATCTCAATGGTCAAAAGATAATGTAGACATATGATTACTCTTAGGCATCAAAACTATACGTTCACTCATCATATAAAATGTTCCATTATACATTATCACAAACTTATATGAAAGTATCTTTCATCTTTAGCAATACTATAGAAATTATAACATCAACATTATGCAAGTCTATAAAATAGTTTCGAGAGTGTGGCGGATGTGGGTGTGAATATATTGGTGACAGAAGACAAGATACACATCCACATCCTCAAGATTGAATTGATATTTTAATGTGTGAGTGAATCATAAATGAAGACAAGAGAAACAAATTTTTGTCTAGTTGTCTATAAGCTGTCGAATGTTCGTCCGACCTGCGTTGGCACCTTTTTTTCTCTTTTTTTGTCATTGTTGAGGAAAACAATGTTGTTGTCGACAAGTTTATTTTCAATGGGAAAAGACCTTATGTTTTGACAAAACGGAAAAAATAATATATATTAAGTAAAAAATAGCGAGACAAGTAGATGTTTGTTTTTCAAAATAAAATCAAACAAACACGAATAGTATTTTCTTTTGTTTATTCTCTTGACTGAAAGGAGGGTCATATGAAAAAAAATAGTTTGTACATTTGTTTGTGTCAGGGTCAAAAGAACATCAGGGTCAAAAAAACATCCGATTCTGCATAAAACTTGACCAAAGAGTAATCGGGTGGGTGTGGGTGTGGGTGTTCGGATGTGGATGTGTGGGCGTGGGTGTTGGTTTTGTACTTATTCTGTACCGACGCCCGCACCCACACTCCACCCTTCATAGAAGTGATAGAAACAGTCAACTGATTGATGAGAAGTATAATGGACATTTGATCGAGGTTTTTTGTTTCACTCTCTCCGAGTGTATCAATCGCATAAATGTTGAAAGCTGCTCGAGGAAGTGTGCAAAGTACACTTATAGAAGTTTGATTTTTGTTGTTGACGAACATAAGTCACAAGACGAACATTACGATATGTCAATAATCCAAACAGTATTAGAACAGTTAGAGAAAGAATAATAGTCAGGATAGGAGACAAAACGAAACCTCTTATTTGCATAAAGAGATCGTTCGTAAACCAACAAGTGAATGTTGGTGGTACAAGATCACTATACATGAGATAAGGAACACTCACAAGTGATCAAAAAATAAATGGAATAGGAAAGAGATAGCAAGCAACAAGAATCGAATTCAATCAGCGTATTCGAGTCAATTGAGACGTACATACCCAACGATCAAATGCAGACAAGCAAAGAAAACTCATTGCAACAGACACTATCATTTGAATACCAATGACCAGTAACTTACAAGCAATTGATGAAACCGATATTGGCGTCGATGGAACGATTTAAAAAAGCACAATCAATAAGACATTGACATCGGTTAACAATCGATGGAGATCGACAAAATGTTTTTACGCAAAGAAATATTATTGTATTAAGACACGGCGCTGGAGCTCCGACTGAAAACAAAACAATTGAACTCCAAAATCCGATTTGAAGAACTACTTCATACACTAACATCTTTATCTTTTAAAAAATCGAATGAACACTTGCACGATTATTCTGCGTATATCCTTCCTATGACGTCTTCAAATACTATCTAATTCGGATGCTCTCTAGAAGCAATCAGATGTGTCAAGAACAATTAGATCATCAAGGGCAAAACATTCATCAGATGCTTTTAAACAAAGATAGAATTGTCAACATCTTGTCAAACATGATTTTCTTTGACCGAAGCCAAACGCCTCTTCTCTATGCGCGGTTGTAACTCGTACATCATTCAATCAGTTATTTGATATAAGGGGTCTAAGACAGTTGGTCGCTCGGACACTTGCTCGCGAATTAGAAATAATATTTGACAAAAATATTACTGATGATGTTATGAAAGATTGACCAGAAAATAATATACCGAAATTAGAAAAATAATACAGCAGGAATTCAATAACCAGCGTCACACAATTTCAAATAACCATATGGCAAACAAATTTCAGGTTTTATAGGGAAAGCAAACGTCAAATCCATGTTAATTGGTCGTAAATGTCTATGGTTGAGTACAATATGTCATTATATTAGAATCGTTAGTTTATGATGATGATGAATTCTGTAAACAAAATTAATTTATTGTGGTATCGTATTTCGTTATTTTATTTAAAATTATTATCAATGCCTGAAAACTGACTAAGTGCCCTAGCGAGCGATTGCCCAAGCGACCAAATGTTTGCGGGCAACTGTCCGCTATCCGATATAAGTTGACCAACTAGATCGTTTTCTGTTCATTCTCGAAGTTATAAGAGTTTTTCTATATGAGATTATTTACTCGGTTTTATTTATATAGATAATTTCTCTCAAAATATGTTTAATTCATCACAATCACATTGGTCAAAATGTACAAAGTATTGTGTGAGTAGAAAAGGAACGTCTTTTTTTCAGAAAACTATGATAGTGATAGATACTTTTCAGGGAAAATGTTAAAGACAAGCCAAGGATAATTTTCTTAAAATGAATTCATTTAACAAACAAAATATTTATTGATTGAAAGTCACTACAAAAATATATTTTCTGCAAAGACTGTTGACGATGAATTTCCAAAGAATACTATCAAGTGTCTTATATTCATTAGTACTCTTACAATTATTTGTGTTCAACAAACNAGATGATATATTTTGGTCAAATAATAGTTATTGCTGAATTTTTTTTAATAGAAATCTGGGAGAATGATGCTTATAGAATAAATTCATTTGATACAGAGAAAAAATCGGAGAGAACGTTTTCACTTTCTTTACAGATAATTGTGACGAATTATGAGAGTGACTGCCTATGCCTTTCAGCATGATGGTGTCTTGTGACATCTGCACTCTCATAACTGTCCCTCTCGTTTTATTAAACACGTCTTATATAGTAGAAGAAGCGGTCACACATCATATAACAAAGACAAAGAGAGAAGGTCAGTGACCGGTGAAGAGGTCATGATATAGAATGTAGAATATATAGTCTAGGAGAAAAATTTAGGCCACATTAATTTTTTGTTATTATTTTTTCTTTCATATTAAGAGGTACCGATCTGATTTTAATGGTGATATAGATAGTACGAGAGGCTAGGCTACATGATGTATTATATTCAGTGGCATTAATTGAATTTTGACGTATTCGTAATAAATTATCGATTAAAATTATTAAAAAAATTGTAAAAGAAGGAATGTTTTTGTCATCAGGATATTACATATTGTAGATTCAAAATTATCAGTAGTAAGTTATAAACTATTTTGATTAATTTAAATTTTATGTTATTTCTAGAATAGTTTGGATTACAAGCAACTAATGGCCTGAAAAAAAACTTCTGATTTTATTTTCATTATGATTATAAAAATAACTTTCGAAAGTGAAGAAGTTGAACAATTTTCAAAAAGCGATCAATCATTTTTTGGTTTAGAAAAAACATGATCAGTTATTTCTCGAAATATCTAATTTATCTTTAATGCATTTGATGAGTAATTCCCAGAAAATTGTTTTACTCTTTGATAAGAATGTTTTTATTCAAAAAATAAATACGATAGGAAGCAGTTATTTCAGTTTCATTGATACATCTTCAATATAACTTTCGATTATGATCACATCTGGATGTTGAGATGGTAATGAGTGACGATAAATAGTAACTACTTTTTGATAATATGCCAATGCTTGTTGTAATTTATCCTTTACTTTGTGTACCAAATCTATGTTCTCCTCATTCGAAGTAATAAATGAATGTTTAGAAGGGAGAAACTTCGAATGGATTTTCAGTTATTGATTGTAATGTTCCATGTCAATAGCATAATAATTGAGGCTGTAATGAATCACACCAATTTTCGTATGAGATGTATCTATATTACGATGATTAGAAAGTAAATGCTTTTGTTTAATAGTTAGCGACTTTTCATAAAACTCCAATACTTTCGAATAGTTCATCTGCTTATTATAGATAATAACAATATTGTGATACAAATAAGACATGTAAATGATTTTCATCATGTGCCTGTTTGAAAAATTCAATTTCTTTGCTATATCATCCATTACTTCATCTTCGTCATCTTTATTATCATAAACATCTTGCATATAGGTGTAGTAATACCAATGTAAATAGATTAAATCCTAATCATTCTACGTGTATTTTTAGAATTTCATTTTATAAAATGTCCTTGTAAGATATAAAAATATACTCGTTCCATCAATAATTAATAAACCAAATGCATTGCTATACCAATAACTAATGTTTTCATTGAATTATTTTCTATAGGAATACACTAAGAAATTCGAAGAATGAAAGAAATATTGGATTCTTTACTTTATTTATTAGAATGATTAATTTTAGTTGAGTTAAGATTAAAAATTTTCATGAACATGAAGCTCTTTCACATTTAGTGACATTTATTAATTGAAAAAAATTTTCATCTATTGAAAAAACCTTTAGAATACAAATCGAACAAACAAATTTCAGTTCAAAATACTTATATTAAATCCTTCACTTACATCAATGAAAATAGCTATCATAAGTACACTGACAATAATTATTTCATCATAAGCGTTTAATTTCGAGAGAATTTTTTCACTATAATTAGTAATAAAGATGACCTTTTATTAAATTATTGAAAAAGAGATATATTTCATAAAATAATCTCATAAAATCTGTTCCATTAACAGGATGAAAGGAAAGACTATAATTCCCTTTTCTGAAAGAAAGGGTTATATGGCCAAAAAATATCTAAAATAGTTTGTCAGCTCAAGCCAATCAGAATTCAACATTGGATATCGCTGTGTGTCGAATGATATTAATTAGCAATAAAGTTTCATCAAAGGTAATCGAGGATGGAAAATCCGAATCCGAGGTCATTTTTGTACAAAATTCTCAGTAAATAAATCAAACTATTAGTATAAAATTTAGTGCTCAGTAACTATCATGCCTGATCAGTAAATTAGTAATTTCCAGGTGCGGAATGGGATGTATTCTCAACAATTCAATAAAGAAAATTTCTCAAAATATATTTAAAATTTTCATATTTCTCTGATGATTAACGGTTTCGGTTCCAGATGATATTTTTGGAACCGAACCGGCACCGCTTTTCTCTCGTTTTTAGTAACCGGAATTGGAAACGTGGTTCCCGGTAATTTTTGCGATCGCTAAGCTGTACAGGAAGGCCAACAAACTTATCCATACCCTTAAATACTAAATATTTTTAAATAATTTACTGAGCTCTTCGAACTATTTATTGAGCAAAAAAATTATTTGTTACTGAGCAAAAAAGTTATTTTTTACTGAGCAATTAATTACATGCCATTTTTAAATATTGTAAATATTTGAACTTTGTTAAGATTTGTGTAAATAGAAATATATTTATATATCTTTAGTTGAACTTGTTGGTTCTTGACATTTGCTAATATGAATAATAAGTGATGATAATTGATTTTTGAAAATAGGAATTAAATATGTGATATATGCCTACGCTAGCTCCTCAAAATCCAAGCGACATATCTATCACTTTTCTGAACGTCTTAGTCAAAATTTGCAAATTGTATAGAAAAGGTAAATACCTGATATCTAATAGCTATTCAAATGAAAGATATCAGCCTATAAGTTTTACTAACGTCTAGATCAAAATTTCCAAATTATACAGAAAAGGTAAATATCTGATATCTGATATCTAATACTTATTCAAATGAAAAGCATCAGCCTATGAGTTTTACTAACGTCTCAATCAAAATTAGCAAATCATACAGAAAAGGTAAATATCTGATATCTAATATCTTGCCAAAATTCTGAATGCTGCAAGGAGTGAATATCTGGTTGCTAGGTCAAAAACTACCCAGTTCAAACGAACAGACGGTAAGATCTTACATGATCGTACCTCTGATCTTGTATGATCTTGTAATATCAGACAAAAATCGAACAAAAAATCAGGGTCTCAGAAATCTTACATCAAGTCGTATCATAAGATTCTTGAAAGATTGTGTTGTTCTGTAAGATATTACTATAAGATTATAGAAAATCTTATGTCATAATAAATCTTACAAGAATCTTACAGTGCGAATTGATGTAAGATTTCTGAGACCACGATTTTTTGTACGATTTCACCTGATCCTACAAGACCTGATGTCTGATTTTTTTATCTGTGTGGTTATAATTTGAGATTTGCTAGTGCCTCAGACCACCTCTCGGTCATCACCAGCTTCATATCCAAACACTGGCAGTCACACTCATACACTCAAAAACCACATGACTCAACCAAACATCCACATCCTTTTCTTTGCGTTCGTAGTTTCTTTCGAATGTGGAGATATTCCAAAAGATGCAGAAATGTTTTCTCTACAAACTAGATGTTTCATTAACTTCTAGAGCACCTCTGATTCGTTGACGGTATCAATATGCAAGCAGAAAGGGTAGTTTGGCTGTGAGACAAATTCTCGGCTGTTATGCCTCGAACCACATTGAATAATGCTGAGAGCGCTAGATCATATGGTGTAGGTCTGCACCTTCTCATCGTCTACATCCTCATCCACATCTCACAACCATACTACACGATGCATTTCAGATTGCCTTTCATTCTAGAGTGTTTATGCCAATAGATAATGGCTTCTGGAGTTCGTGATCTTAATGATCGACAACGTTTTCTCGACATTAACGAAGAACCAGATGAACCATTACCTCCATTACCGATGCCCGTTAATGGAGAAAAAGGAATACAATCATTAGGTGAATGTGTGAAACCCATTCTTAATTTAAAATTAGTTGACGATTTATTAAATAAAGTGGCATATTCATTAGAAAAATGTAAACACCCAAAAGATGATCTTACACAAGATCAGTCGGCTGCATTATATCTATACTCACTTCAGACTTCGTTTTATACGAGGTTTAATGGTGCATTACGTAATGAAGATCGCACAAAAGCAGTACCGTTTTATGACTATTATAGGTTGTTTATGTTTGCACTAAACAAATTACCATCAATTCAAGATAATGTGTGGCGTGGTGTTACTGCCAATCTGAACGATCAATATAGTAAAGGTAGCATCCATATATGGCATGCTCCTAGTTCATGTTCAGATCAAGTACATGTAACTGATTCATTTCTCGACAAAAATAAGCATCGAACATTATTTAATATTAAATGTTACAATGGCAAGTCAATTAAAAATCATTCACACTATCCGAACGAAAATGAAACTATTTTACCACCTGGTACATGTATACGAGTTAAATTACAGTCAAATCCAGCTGATAAATTGTACATTATTTCTTGTGAAGAAATTATGCTCACTCCTGAAGAAATGAATAATCTTTTAGCAACTGGAGCTATTGCTACTGCATCAGCTATAATGCCTATGACAACGTCAGTCTTGTATTTGTTATGGCTCGATCCAAATGTTAACAAATCAAAAGAAAATGTAGCAACACAAGGAGAGTTACGCACTTTGTTCAAAGATGATTTTCAAACGTTTGACAAAGCTGACGAATGTGAATTGTCTATCAATCAAAAGAAAAATGATCGTATAGTTTTAATTGTTAGTGGACAACTCGGACGAAAAATTGTACCGGAAATTCATGATTTGCCACAGATGGCATGCATTTTTTTATATTGTATGGACAAAGAAGCAAATGAAAAATGGACAAAAAACTATACAAAAGTCAGTAGAATCACTTGAGTGTGAGTGTATGCGAGTGTCTGTATAGATAAAGATGATAGAATGACTGACACTCTCGCAAATCCTGACTACCCACGGAAAAAATTTTTCAAAAAAACCGCGGTAGGCAACGGTATTAAAAACCGCGGTTTTTCAGACCGCGTTTTTGGGCGGTTTCAGAGAAACGCATAAATGGTCTGACCACCGTTATTTTNATTGTATATACACGAGGGTTTTCCTCAGGTACATAAGCAGATTGCTGTTGTTCCATTGAGTTATGGATTTGCTGACTTAAAGAAGTCATTTATCACCCGAATCCTAAGTCAGTGACTTAGATTCTTGTGAGGCAACGATAAAAAGAAAGAAATAGAAGAACGAAAGCAGAATCAGTAAGAGCAAGCGCGTCTAACCACTGCAAGTGTAGAAACGGGAATGAAATATCGGATTTTTCTTGTAGATTATTATAGATAATTTGATATATTTTCATTTCTAGGAAAGTTTTTTGTAACAGACAGAAGTAAAAAATTACACGATCTTATTCGTCATCGTTTAGACATGTTATTTGTTAATAATAGAGTAATGTTTATTATTATAAAAAAAAATAATTATTTTTTTATATATCTAATATATTTTGTTTTTCTATAGGGAGAACGATTAGATAATATTGATGAAAAATCTATTGAATTATTACGAACAAAATTCTTTGTTTATGAAACTGAAGGAATTCAATGTCAATTAACTTTTCAAAATCGAACAATTACACTTAATGTAAGAGTTCTTTTTGTTTTTTTTTTTTACATTTCTAGTCAAATAATATGATAATAATATTTGATTATTTAAAGTCAACAGAATGCAGTTCATGTGCATTGGAACATGAAAAAAATAAAGTTACTTTATATATTCAAAAAGATATTTCAACTCTTGATTATATTGATATTGCTACGGAATTAACACGATTTGTTTATAAAAAGCCACTTGATGCATTAGTTCATTCTATCAGTGATAAACTTGCTTCACCGTTAGAAACACTCAAACGACGTGGAATTCCTGTTGATCGATTGTTAAAACTTGCACCACAACAATGTAAGCGTAACGAAATATTTTTCAATTAGTTAATGGTTATATTCTTTCTTTTGTTTTTTTTTATAGTAGTTAAGTTAGAATTACAAAATGAAAAAATAAAAATCGAGAAGAATAATGTTGAAAAACTTCCATTAAAACAACAAGAATCATTATGTCAATCAGAAGAAATTGAAAAATTCGATCAAAATCAACAAAATGATCAAATACAACGAGGATTTTTTCAAAGTTTAAAAGAGTATAAGATCTATAATCATTTATCATTTCGATTTCGACAAGAATTTTTTTTTTTTTAATTTAGCTTTTTAGTTCCTAATCGATATTCTTCCTCGTCTTCTTTTTCGAATAATTCTATTGAAAATATTTCCAGTACAATTGAACGAGATCGTATAAATAATTTTGGACAAAATAAATCTTTTGATGAAGCTGATATTAGAACTATGATTCGAACAAGTCGAACTTATTCTGCAAAAGAATTTAATCAATCAGAACATTCTAGAAATGAAAGTAATAATTCATGTGAATATATTCCACCTTCAAATATGATTCGTTATGATCATCTTCTTTATGGAATTTCTCTTTATATTGATTGTAATCTAACTTTAACTGATGCTATGATTGATCAAGGCAAACAACTTGCACGGTTACTATCTGGTCTTGCAAAAGATGTTTTTAGCATGCCCGTACAAACAATGCATCTATTTCGTGATATTGACAGTGGTAAATATATATATAAGAAATCATTAAAAATCAATTTCAAAAATGCTTTCTTTCTTTTTCGTTTAGCACGTATTGCTTTCAATAATAATGGTGCATTATTCTTCAATCTTCGTTATTTTGAACAAATATTTGCTGATGATCTTAAAGCATATCTTCCTAATGCTTCATCATCGATTCCAATTGTTCGTACTATAATTAATTTTTATTATATGGTTGCTTGTCATGAATTATCACATAATATTGATTCAAGTCATGATTTAAATTTTATTAATCGTCTTGAAAAAGTTTCCGTTCGATTTATGGATTTAAAAGATACATTTCTATCCAAATTTTCTTTTCAATAATTATTGACAAAGACTTCTGTAACTAGTTGTTTTGTTTGAAAAATATAATTCAAGTTATTTCTTGAAAGTCAATTACTATGATCATGATAAAAACTTACAAACAAATATATTTTCAATCTTGATTATTTCTCTATTCAGGTGAAGCTGTAGTAATGAGATCTGCTTAATTCCGAGCATAAGAAACATACAAAAACCAATGTCTTTATTATAACCATTTCTTCGTGTGAGAATCTAGTGACAACATTTGTTTCGCCTAGACTGGATTCATTCCTATAAACACATATAGATCACTAGAATGTAGCCAATAATATGGATAAATGAACTAGTATTTCATAAAATAAATAATATAACTAATTTTGATTGATTTGTTCTTGTATTCACAATGAATTAGCTGTTCTATCAATTTTAATGCCTTTATTACGGTCATATCTTAAACTTCGAGAACTCATTCTTTTCCTAAAGGAGAAATTGAAAACAAAATGTGATTTGAAAAGATTGACATTCGATGCGCTATAGTTTTCTATGAGTTATACTAATTCAATAACATTCTAGCAAATCATAAAATTGAAAAAGTGTACAATGTCTGTTGTTTCTTTGATAAAAAAATGGGTGTGGATGGCGTTTTTTAGATTGCTACCTGCACATCGGACCTCAATCCTTTGTAAATAATATTTTATGCGTCCCTTTCTTGAGTAAATAACTTAATACTTTAGGTCAAGTAAGAAATCAATATTCTAAAACTAGAGATTATCAAGCAACTGAAAATCAACATCATTTAATGCGGAAGCTGTTTGCAACTGTTAGCAAAGACTGTGAATCAGAATTTGACTTTCTCAGATATTTGATCTTTTACGAAATTTGACTGCCTTAAATTTTGGTTGAATCTATATGTGAACTCTAAGCTTGAGTTAAAATTAACAAAAATGATTGGGTGTGGGTGTGGGTGTGGGTCTTCTTTATATACAAATCACACCCACACCCACACCCTCTTCTTTTAAAAATAAGTTGATACCTTTTTTGAACTGTTGATGTAAACAGCATTTCTCAAACATACAAACAAGAGCTAGATGATCAGCAACTAGACTTCTAGAATCAGTTTATTATCTCATTTAAGAAGAAATATATTTGAAAGCTACAACAAATTTTGTTTAGAAGCTGTAGTTGTTCTTTCCTAAAACAACCGGTTTTCTGAAATCTTCGATTTTTGCAGGTTTTAAAGGTTTTTGACATGAAAAAAAGAGTTTTTCTTGAAACACTGTATAAATGTTTAGATTCAGCTCGTCGAGCTGCGTCAAATCATATAAAAATTTTTGAAAACGCACTCAAATTTTGAATTAGCTGACCTTTAATTAAACGGAAATCAATCTATACACATAATAAAGAGCGTCTGTGTCTCTTACTGAGCCGAGGGTTTTAAAGTCAAAAAACAACAACTGTGCAGCATACATAGTAATTTTCTGGTAGATTATATTTTTAATATTTGTGTTTGCTATTTCATAGTATGATCATATAACGTCTACCAATGAACAGTGTTCTTAGGTAGACGCAAAATAATCTAAATGATAATTGGCGAAAGAAAACTTCTTTGTGAGATGAATGTATAGAATTTTCGTGATGTGTGTTATTAAATGCATCGAACATGTTCAAAGCTCGAAAAGTTGTATTTATTTTTTCAAAACAATACAATAGAGAAAAGAGTCCTTAGTTATCGAACAACGACTCGCCAATAGGCGCCTGTATAGGAATTCGGTTGTTCGTGCGGAGCACGCGCAAAACCAACTCCCCATCTGCTGTATATCTATCTAAATACATTTCTTCGTCATCATCTCCATTCGAAAGTAAACATGATAATTGATCCACGTTCCACCGTGCTCCTTCATCCATTTTGCTCTCTCCAAGTTTGGTTTTCATGTAGTCTGTACGTGTCAACCATTGTTGCTTGGGATCGATGGAGTCGAGACAACGAAAACTGACGACAAGTGGGTCATTACTGTGGAAATGAACAAGCCAAAACGTAGATGCCGGAGATTTTGTAGCCACAAGATGGATACCACTTGCAGAGCCGCTAAGCCAGTGTAGATTTTTTATATGACCAAGTGACTCGAGAGAGATAACTGTATTGTTCTCGAGCACTATCCGATTTACTAGAAAGAAGCTGAACAATTTAGCGCACATAAATAAAAAGGATAATTATTGTGCGCAATTTTTTCAACTTTCGATTTAGAGAAATATCAGATCATATAATGACACGAACATAGACTGACAGGAACCTCTTTATGGTTAAGTTCATAGGATTGGGTATTAGGAAGTGAACAGATCTTCTTCACGGTGTTCATCCTCTATATACAAGCCTAGACATGAATGGCAACTTAGTCAACCTTCAGGAGAATATTGAAAATTTTATTGCTTATATTTCATTGGGAAAAGATTAAAGTTCAAAAAGGGACGTGTAAAAGTTTAATTTACAGTAACTTTAAATGTATTTGAATCATTATAAATTGTGTGACATTTGTTCAGATTGATGAGTTTTTTCCTATAATATAATTCATACCTGCGCTGTCTAGAATCGTATCTTTTATGGGAAGTGTGCTGGTGTCTATATTATTGTCCACATCCCACTGTTTGATAGCAGGCTCTTTCATTTGTTTTTCTCTGTAGTTCTCCATAACTGAACCTATTTTTTTTTGTAAAGTCAAGTTATTAGATAAAGTTAGAAGACTTTACCATATACTTGAGCCGAAAATGTTGTGCTCTTATTGCTACTCTGGCAGTTCGAATCAACCATGCATACGAATTGTCATAGAATTGAAATCAGCTGTGCTTTGTTAAGATATCGCCCATTGACTTTATCATCTAACGTAAAGAATAACATATCTTAGACGCATAAACATTTCAATTTTGATACTATTTTCTGACAGCATTCAGAACGATGTGAACATCATTCCTCAGATAAAATGCACTGTGTTCAGTGTACTTTTAAAATGTTAATTCAGAACCATTTTATTTTTTTGTCTTCTTTTTCTCCATTGAATAGTTGTAGATAGTATTTGGTTATGCCGTTGAATCCTATCTGTGCTTGTCTCTCATATACACGCTTAATATAAAACTTAACTCTGCATTTCAAAATGATCTTAACTTTTTTCACATCAAGGTCATGCAACCATAGTACAGAGCTAAAATATAATGTAAATGAATAAAGGATTTTGAAGAGTATGACTTAACTAGTTCTATCAGAGTCTTTAATTAATGGTGCGTATTTCTGATGAATTTTTCTACATGTAACAATGATTGAAGCGGCATCGAAGTTCTGATCGAATACATTATTACGCAAAACTTCTGATAAATTTTAATTTTTTTTATAGATCTGATTCTAACATGTCTTTTCATTTTCTTCAAAAAACTAAACACATACCGCACACATTACGAATATTCTCTGATGAATCATTCAACTGAAAAATGTGATGATTCCACAAACAGGCTTCTATAAAAAAAACCCTTCTTGAAAAAGATCGTTTGGTATTGTTAAACACAGTAAAGAAGAACGAGTAAGAGTAGAAAATATCTTCTTTTACAATCTGTGTTCAATCGTCTTTAACTAGTTCTAATATTAGCAGTACGATTGTGTCAAGAGATCCACCACTCCCAGTAGGACTGGACACCCAGTCAGACTGGGTACTTAGTCATTTGATCTTTAGTCCATTAGTCGAGTAGTACTTTCTTCGTTTCTAGTATATTGCCATACAGTGATCCTTAGGCTGTTGGAGTACTGATATAAACTATAACATTGAATCCATTAGCTAATCATACCTTTCTATGTATCAATCGTTATAATTTAGAATACTATAAATAAATTTCATATGGATTCATTAAACTTTTGCGAGCTATCTATTCAGGCGTAGTTTTCGTTTATTATCATCTGCTGAACTATTTTCTTTGCTATAGATAATCCTTCAAGATAATGGATTTTTTTGACAGCTTCTTTCAGAAAAATGTTTCCTGTAAGTTCGATACTGAAATGAAAAACAGAAAAAGTCGAACTCATTATAATAAGCATCAAAACGAATACGATTGACTCATGTATTAAATGACAGCTTGTAATCGATCAAAATAGTACTAATTCAGAAATTTTAGTCATGAATGATTCAGTTTCGTATTTTGAAGTTCAAATTGTATTTTGATTTTGCTAATAGTTCCTAGAAGAATATTTAGAATACCTTGTTTACACTGGAGATAAATACATATCGAATCAAAGAAAGCTTTTCAGGACAGTTTAATTTGGGGCTGAAATGTGGAACTCACATATCCTCTTTGACTTCAACACATCAATACAAAACATAAAGTGTAAAATTCTGTAGGGCGATTCTTTTTCCCTCTGATTCTCCATTAGCAGGAAAGATCCTTTTCTATTTCTATATCTTAAGAAGAATTATCTTTCTTTGAAACAAGCACCTTGTTTTGCACCTTTATTATTATTAACTTATTCATGACTTTTCACTGTCATAGGTTTTTAAATTTAAAATTTTCATTATTATAAGAACTGAATAGTTAATCTAAGTTAAGAAGTGTGTAATGGAAAGGGTGGGTATGGATACAGATGGCTAGGATGGATATAGGTGGACGCAGGTGCAATTGTGCATGAAAGAAACACACATCACACTCAGACCTACTTTTGACTTATTACTATTTTCAAGTTTTGTATATTTTTTCTTATGTATTTGGTCCAACTGTAACTGAATTTTTTACGTATCTTTTTTTGCATATATCATTTATATATGACGTGTTTTTTATTTTTCTGTTATGTATTTTATTCTTAGTTATTACCATAAAATTTTGTTTGAATTAGAATGATATTAGTTATAACACTATTGAATATATGATAAAAGTGCGAATTTAGTCTTGCAAAGAGTTATAAGACTTTGTGTTTTTCTAATAATATTTTGGATTTGCTATTTAATGTTGCAAAATAGACGAAATTCTTCCTGTGTTGTCTAATGTAAGTTACTAATACTTCTGAAATATGTCAAGAATATTTAACGTTATAACGATTGGCAAATAGAAATATAAGAATACTCAATCAATTCAATATAATTGCTTATATCAGTATTTTATCAGCCTGAGAATCAATTCATTGCAACATATTAGAAAATAGGGGAATACTGTTAGATTAACGAGATGAACATCCAATGACTAAGTACCCAGTTATCGGCACTGGTGTGTCTCTAATTGTGTCACTCACTATTATTAATAGAAGTGCCATTAATGGCGTTGCAGGACGTAGGTGAAGTTAGCTCCATATTCGAGTAAAACCGTCCCATATTCGTCCAGGAACGTGTTCCAAGTGTTCCAGCCCGGTTCCAAGTAGAACTCGACGAGCTCTATCTAATGGTCACCTTCGATTTTCCAGATCCCAAACCAATCGTGAGAAAATCCCAAAATAGTACCTTTTCATTACGTGTATTGTCACTAAAACCTTCCCATGTTCGTCCAAGAGCGTGTTCCAAGTGTTCCAATTCGGTTCAAAGTAGAGCTCGACGAGTTCTATCCAATAGTAACCTTGGACTGTCCATAGGCTAAACCAAACGTGCGAAACATCCAAAATACTGCCCTTTTTGTAAAGGAAATGGGAAACCGACTCACTGAAACCGTCCCATATTCGTCCAGAAGCGTGTTGCAAGTGTTCAAGCCTGGTCAGAAGTACAAATGGATGAGATCTATCTAATGGTAACCTCGCATCAATTGAAATCCAAACCGTTGGTTAATAAGTCTCAAAATCAATTGGGAAAAGGCGATTTGTGATTTAGTGAATTAATATGGTTCAAAATGATTTATAACTGATTTAAAATCATCAAAACTCATTGTTTCAGATGATTTAGAATGCTTTTATATGATTTAATGTTGGATTTTAGATGATTTAAATCAGCCGCTGTCTCCTTGCTCAAAGTAGTGCATTTTCAATGTGTGTGTGATTTCAAATACTAGAGGTTGTGGGTGTGGTTGAAAACGGCACCTCCAGCCAGACACACACTCCCACACTCCACATTCACACCCACACCCCGTACCCGCACCCGCATCGTTGTTTCACGATAACACGAATAGTATATTGGTCTATACTTTTACGAACGATTAAAATTATTTACAGCAACGCATACTCGGAATCACTTTACCAAATTGACTAACATCTGTCACGTTAAAGTTATTTTGATAGTATTCAAGAACAAAGAATTCAAGACTCTATTAAAAAGGGTGTGGGTGGGGGTGGGGGTCCGTGTCAGTTTGAAGAAAAAAATAACCACACCCACACCCACACCCACACCCACACCCCACACCCACACCCACACCCTCACACCCTAATTGTAATCGAATATCGTATAATGTTGAAAAAGACATAATAAATTTGATTAGTGTTAACAAATGCATTACGAGAAGAGAAATTTATATGTATGTTGAAAATTTCCAGAAGGTCGCATATGATATTTATTCGACATTAATACTTTATCATAGGATGGGATATTCATTATGCGAGTATAATCTATTACGTCTTTGAAAAAGTATAAAGATTTTCCTGAAGATTTTGGAAGTATCGAATGCAAGGGGTGAACTGCGGAATCAATCACCGACGTCCACTACCTCGTTTCCATAATAGTCAAAATCAAAACGACGAAAAGTTATTCTAAGGAGAGATTGGAGCAGGGAGAAGTAGTGCGAAAATTTGAAGGTACAGGACGTTTGGTGATTATATAGTCACATATCAGATCATTTTGAACTCTTCACTTGCCAGGTTTTCATGAGAAATGATAATCGACGGGTAGCATAATAATCACCCTGGTCCCTTTCTGTTCTATGTAAAAGTCTCTTCTTTCAAATGATGACTCTGATCGGTCTCTATAAATTCGTAAAAATCACTTATTTGAATATTACATTATCAAGAAGAAGAATTTCGACTAAGATCAAAATTACAATTAGTTAATGAAAGTGGGCTTTTCATATGAGATATGAATCGGTTCGTTATATAAATTTGATAAACTTTATCAACATGTATTTACACAGGTGAAACGAAAAACTAATATATAGATATATATACATGGAATAAACCGTAACACACTTATCGGTGGAAAGAGCTTATCTATATGTCGTAGTTTTCGTTTTCTTTCTTACATGAAACTGATATCAAGAGGAAAAAATCCGATGGTTTAGGTTGGAAAAATTTTACATGTAACTTCTGAGTTGTATAAATGGCGAAAACGAACGTCGGTTGTACTGTTGTGAAACATACTCAATCGTAGTTACTATTTCACATATGGCCGCTTTGAAAAATTTGGTTACAGCTGCTGTTCAAGATTTAGTTTCATCGAAGAAAAATTCTATATCATCAAATAAATGTGTTACTGCTGTTTTAATTGGAGAAACTGGTTCTGGAAAATCATCATTAATTAATCTTTTTTATTTTTGGTGTTTAGAATCAACAGGAAAAAATCCAAAATTTGAAGATGCAAAAATTCATAATATTATTAAATCTGAAAATGAAACAGGTGGTAGTCAAGCTGGTTCACAAACACTAAAACCACAACAATATAAATTTGAATTAAATTTTAATGGTGAAAATTATTTATTTACTTTATTGGATACACCTGGTATGGGTGATGTAAAAGGTTTGAAAACCGATGATGAAAATATTCTTTCTATATTACAATTTGTTGAACAAACACCATCAGTAAATGCTATTGTTTTAATGTTAAATGGTAGTAATGCACGTGTTAGTTCAAGAACATCATATATACTTCAACGTTTATATGGTCTTTGTCCAAAAACATTTCAAAATAATCTTTATTTAATATTTTCAAATACACAAATGGAACCAAATTTTGATATAAATCAAATTCGAGTTCCAATTAAAAAAGATAATGTTATACCAATTGATAATTTACTTTATTCACCAGCTGGATTTCAATATGCTGAAAAAACTTTATTACAAAAACGAAAAATTGAAAGTAATTATAAAGAAAATAAAGAAATACTTAGTATGTTATTTGATCAATGGGTAAAAGGTATGATATATATATATATATAATATTCATTGAAAAAAAATTGTTTATTTATAGGTGGTTCATTATTACCAAAAGCATATAAAGATTTACGTGAAAATCGTGATACTTTACGAGTTAAAGTTAGTGGTATATTAAATGGTATTACCGAATCGAATGATATTAAAGTTCAAGTTCAAAATGAAAAACAAGAATTAACAAATAATGTTACACCATCATTAGAACTTTAAAACAAAAAACATATGACAACACAAACCGTTGAAGTTGAACATGTTGAAACACCTTATCATAATACTCAATGTTTATCATGTCCTCGTGTTTGTCATGAAAATTGTGGTTTAGATTATACAATTAATATTGGTGATAATATATTTCGTGGTTGTGCTTGTATGAATGGTGATTATTGTCGTGATTGTACACATCATTATTCAAAACATGTACATGTTAAATTTAAATATGTCAGTAAAACTACAACAGTTCCATTATTAACAGATGAAGAAAAAAAAGAAATGGATTCTATGACCGATACTGAATCCCAAAAACAAGCATTAATAACAAAAATGAATGATAAAATAACATCTATTGAAAACAGTGTCAAAGTATTTAAAAATGAATTAACAAAAGCTCTTAAACAATTAAAAGATTTATGTCCGTATTATGATTATAAATTAGAATTAAATTGTGCTGTTAAACTTCTTGAAGATGAAGAATTAATTGGTTCAAAACATCATGATCCAGTTGAATTAAAAACTTTAAAAACATATTTTACAGAATTAATGCAACAATTTGATCAAGCTGCTTCATAATACAATTAAGACTAAAGTTTTTTTCTTTTTTTAAATTTTATTCAAATTCACATGTTGATCATCTATAATTGTTTTTTTTTTATATTAATATGAAGAACCATAATTTCCTTTTAAAAGAAAATAAATCTTAATTGGACCATGATATTTTGTATAAACAATTTCATAATGACGAATAAGAAATATCGCAGCTAAACCATACATTAATGTTGGAAGGGTGTGGGTGGGTTTTGAGTTGTTCAAGATAGGACAAACACCCACATCCATATCCACGCCCACACCCATTCATACGCTCTCTATTATCAGTGAAACTTTCGTGTCAACCGATTGCCTGATTTATGAAGTTATTTTTGGCTACTCCTAACACTAGAGTTGATGAAAACTATCAAAATACGATCCGTAATTCCAACTAATTTTGATCATTTAACTTGAAATTTTCTTGAGTAAATGCTCCACTCCAGTCAAGTTTTTCATGAAAATTTAATAATTATAGGATGGGTGTAAATATGGAAAGTGGAGTAGTGGGAATATGCCCGAAGGATGGACTCTCATACACATATCCGCATCTTAGTATAATTTTAAAAAATCTTAAGGTTTCGTTGAAACGAAAACAAGCACAACTTTTACAGAGTATTTTTTTACATAAGGATATGATAGTAATGCACAAAAATCAGTATTGAATAACTTTGCAAAGAAAGACTATTGAGTGCACAAAAAATAATAAAAAGAAAATCTTTTATAGAGTATGTCGTTATTTCTCTCTTGATTGCAAATAACAAAAAAAGTAGAACTTGATTGACTAAAGAAAGATTTTTGTTTTTGCAGATAATCCAAAAGTGTAAAAACAATATTTAAAAAACAATAGTTCTACTCTAAAACTTCTCCACTGAAGGACGAATATCAAGTTCATGTGTCCATGTTGTACGAGGTTGTATATGTAATTGCCAATATGTCTCAGCAATCTACAATAGATAAATTATTCACTCAAACAAGAAAACAAAACTAAGATGTTGAATAGTTCATACCGTATCACTATTGATAAATGAATTAATATCTTTGCCAGGTTGACCTAAGCATGTCATCAATTGTTTTTCTTACTTTTAAGAAAGAAAGTCTTACGTTGAACTTGACTTGGTGTATTAATTTGTCCGTCAATAATTATATGAGTAACATGAATACCTTGTGGACCAAATTCACGAGCCATGGATTGAGCTAAGACTCTTAGTGCAAATTTTGATGTAGCTATACCAGCAAATCCGACTGAGCCACGAAGGCTAGCAGTGGCACCAGTAAACAATATTGTTCCTTTTCCATTTTTGATCATCGATGGAAGAACCTATTAAATTTCAATCAAAAAAACAAATTTTTTTCTCATTTATATTTACTTCTTGACTAGTGATTAAACCACCAATAACACTTGCATTTAGTACTGTGTGAAGTTTCTCAGGTTTCAAATTCAAAATACTTTCTTAATATAAAATATGTTTAATTAGAAAAGAAAACTGAAGATAAATCAAATCAAATATTCAATTTACTTTACACAAATATACCAGCGCTGTACAATAATACTTCAGGTTCATTACCAAATTTTTTTCGAATAGTATCAAAAGCATTTTTTACTGATGATACATCACCAGCATCAGCTGTTACACTCAAAACTATAACAGAAAATATGTATGTTGATGTCAATATATGTATATATATGATAAAAATAACAGTTAATCACCTGTATGACCATTTTGTTCAAGTTCTCTTTGTACAGATTGTAAACTACTTTCTTTTCGTGCTATAAGACCAATTGAATAACCTCCAGCTGCAAATCTTTTTAAAAACAAGTAATAATACACTTTAATAGTAATCAAATAGTATAGATAACATCATACCGTTTAGCTAAAGATGCTCCTAAACCTGGACCAACACCTATAAATTAAAATCAAGATTTAATGAAGAAAAAAAATTATTTTTGAATATTCTTCGTTACCAACAACTGCTGCAACCAGTTTTTTTGATGCCATTTTTCTTATTATGTCATAAATATATCTAAAATTAAAACATGCATAGATTTTTTTCTAAGCTCGATATAAAACAACACTATTATATCCATCATTGCATTTTTAACAAACCTAGATGTGAAAATATTTTGTTCTTTTTTTTTGTTCAATCATTTGTCTTACTAAATAGATCAATTACTATTTAAAACTCTTTACTAGGACAGTTCATCATTTTTGAAACTACTTGAAAAATATCAAATAGTGTTTGAGATAAATCTAATTTCTTTGTTGAATTTGTGACTTATGCTCATACGATATATATTGGAATATTGTTGATAAATTTTGATTTTTTAATGAATAAATCGGTATTGGAGTCCGATTGTGTACCTAATTTATAGATGGATGTTTCGACAGCAAGTAAAAATACAAGTTTACAACTTTCATCAAGATAATGTAAGCAGCAGAGATATGTACCACTCCAGTGAAATTGATCACATCTTATGTGCGAACAGAATACGTTCAAACAAACCACATTCATGAGTCATTTTTAGATTGCCACACAGTGATTAGGGGATCATTTCACCTCTGCATGTCTGTCTGCTTAGTTATTCGCCGAGTGATGGCGCTTTAGTCATACTATGTACTTATCAAACTCTATTGCTGTGAATTACTAAAAAAAACAAGATAGATTTGCATCCAACGCTGAAAAGTTAAGAGAAGTGATTTAATCGTTAATCGGCGCATTCTTTCTGAGATACTGTTAGGTTTATTACCATATTTCATAATGATTTGTTGAATTTATAAATAAAATCGTAATCAATGTTGATTAAAAACTATCCTGATAAAAAATCGACCTACTTTCAAAACTAAGTGAATTTCATAATGACAAACATTATATTGAAATTCACCTTGAATTTAAATTAATGCGAATTCAACTATAAAATTATTTATAACAGAAAGAAACTTCCTGTTTCAAGGTATCATGCTGTGATTTTCATCTAAATATACGTAGGTACTTGTGCTGTCTATGCTAAAAATGTCAACTGGTCAGAACATATCTTGATAATACAAGAATAAAAATAATAAAATCGGAAAGTTTTTGATTTGACTCAAAATAATTCATGTCTTACGAGAGAAACAGTTTCAGGTCTAGCTAATGGCATAGATAAGAAATAAAATCACTGTCTTCTAAGTGTGTAATTCGAAAAGTATATTAACTAAGCTATTTATCATTTTATTAAGTGTTTAATTAATATGTGTAACGTCTTTCGTTCTATTCATTTTATCTTGCTGTTTCTTTAGATTTGTGCATACAAAAAATTATAAATAATAGTGTTAAATATTTTCGTTAATCTCACTATTTTATTATTTAATTACAGATCTTAACGTTCGAATTAAAATATACTTCTGAAATTTGAAAACTCTGTTTCACTAAATAATTACTATGCATATCAAGTATATATTTGATTGTCCGATGAAGAGATCGTTTTAGAGAAAATTGAAAGCTATGAACAAACCAGGATTTTTTCAATTTATCAGATTTTCGTTGGATATTTGATAATAAAACAATATCCCGAATTTCGACGAGAGATTATACGAATGGTGGCAATTATAGTGATAGTCTAGTGAGTAACTAAACGCTTCGGATAATATTATGTCACAGATATTTTCACACGATTAAGTATGGAGAGCATAAACTCTGACTGTTTTAAATTTATGATGTATTGTCAGAGGTTTTTAACACATTCGCCACAATATGAATATTGTTTCCTTATACTTTGTAAAAAGATTCATTTTTAATCAACAAAATTCTAATACTTTAAAACAAGTTTTATTAACGTTTCTTTTATCAATATGAACTATGAATATTCCTTTATCAATGATGAAGGAATCAGCGCCTTTGGTTAAAGTAGGGTAGGGATATCCGATCTTTCCTGAGATCACAGAATTTTTCAGCCACTCTATAATGAGGCCTACCGGTGGGTCTCATCGTGGTGAATATGATAAAGAAAAAAGATCTCATTCAGTTTCACTTGGAAAAAATACTAACTTATCAGACCTATTCAGAAGAACCTTATTTTTGATAGATAATGAAATAGTAAATTAATTTCTTCATTTTTGTGCATTAGAAAATGCATGATGTTCTTATCGAACAGATTGACTTAAATTTCGTAAAGTTAATTTAGAATATATGATATTCACTGATCTCAATCGTCTGATTTGACCAGACTTAAAATAAGTTTTAAGAAAGACATTAAAAAGAATTCTNTATTTCATACGATTTGTTGCGCATTCATCTATCAGATTTACCACGAGCGTGTGAACTAGTTCATATTTTTGAAGGTAAGTTCTATGATGAATGATTGAATCAAAACGAAAATTTGTAAGTAAAAAAAAAAAACTGAATCGATTTTGCAATTTATTTCGCCTTATAATGCATGAGTGGTAGAATATCACCATCTAAAAAAATCTTTGGGTTTATGCGTTGTTTTTGATTCGTTCTATTGTTTTTCGAATGCTTATGTGCAGAGCTGGACAACTTCACTCAAAAAACGACCAACTCAGTTCAAGTCAATCTAATTCATGAACATACGTAGTTGAAGGGTGTGGGTGTGGGTGCGAAGGAAACGAAGACCCCTACACCCACATCCCACCCACCCACACCCACACTCACACCCCACATCCACACCCACACCCACACCCCACCTTTGAACGTCTTTGACAAAGACAAATTAATGCAAAATTAGGTATCAACTGCTATAAATGGATCTGAATGTGGTGAAACTATATGAATCAATCTGCTCTTGTTGTTCTTGCTAAGAAACATTTAAGTGACTATTGACATTTTCAATAAATTCATCAGCAAAAATTGAAGATATTACGATTATATTTTATAGAATAGATAGTTTAAGAAAATATCCTCCAAATCATGGAGAATTGTATCTGATCAATTTAATGATCGAGAAAAATTATGGATTGATATATTTAGTGAACTTATTGGTTATCCAGAAT